AATATAATATTACACATATAATATATACAATTTCAATATAATATTACACATATATAACATATATAATTTCAAAATAATATTACATATATGTAATACATATAATTTCACAAAAGCTCAAAATTAATTTTGCCAAAAGCAGCTAGATGTCCTCAGCAGACAAAAGACCTGACATCACTCATGGCCTTAATGTCCTGGCATTACAAAACAATTCAGTATAATTATCAACAACTGGGTAATAAGCAAAATTACCGACAAGGCTGATTCGCGGATACAACCTGGCAATTTGACAAAAGCGCGAAGCATCAGGATGAAGGTTAGCGTGTGTCGTCACAGTTACGTTTGGAAGCCAGCAATGCCCCTACCCTTAGCCTAAATGAGACATTTCATGCTGAAATTAAGCGATCCCTGGATTAATACCGTCTTATTAAACGATCTCTCGTGTAAATTATCACCATGAGCACAGGGTTTTGCATCTCACGGCCATGGACGAGGATTTCTCGGAAAAGCAAAGAGGATACGGGAGATTTCGCCGGCGATTCGAGTGTCACGCGCGAGCAAACCGTCCGTGGTAGCGGACGGCTAAAATGTATGCGCGGAAGGATCAAAACGTAATAAAAATCCGGCGAAAAAATGTCGACCGATAAATCAGCAGCGCCGTCGCGCCGGTGTACGTATGCAACGCCACCTATACGAGTTTTATATGTGAACACGTACGCGCGCGATACGCGGTGGTTCAAGCTCGGAGGCAAATTTTCTTGTCGAACAGCGCTACGTAACGAGGGGCCCTCGAGCACCTTTTCGGAAGAACAGGAGCGTACCAACGACGTGGCCAATGTTTTTCACCCCTCCAATCGGTGAACCGGGTAGATACGAACTCAAGAGCTGTGCTCCCTCTGGCCAGTTGGTGTCAAATTTGAGCATATCAGAGGAGAAAGAGAGTGCACCTAAAATACAAAACTTTTGATAATTTTTTAAATATCGATAAAAAAGTCTTCCAGTATTATACATCGAATTTTGTCTACATAGACAGTTGTGCAATCGTATTTGATGTAGTAAGCGTTGAGTGTTGAGTAATCGACAATGAAATGGCGACAGTGTCGGTTTAGGGTGGATGACAGTGCTGCCGTCTAGCGGCAGTAACTTGCACTATTACGAGACTTTACTGATCGTGAGACTTTCAATAACTAATAAAGCTTTTTATTGATATCTGAGGAATTAATGAATAATTAAACTTAAGATTCTGTACTTTAAATTTATCCTTCTTTCTTGTCACCCGTTTCAAATTTCGCGCCAATCGGCCATTGGCGATTTTTAGAAATGTATCAGGTAATTGTACAATCAAGTAACCGAACAAAGAATAATAGGATTATATTTTTATGAAAATAGGGTACACCAGCTTTCACTATTGGATGATTGGTGACATAATAAAGATCTAGAAAGATCAAGACATAGAATCAAAGTATTATATCAATCATCAGAGTGTTAATATGAGATAAAATTCGTGATTAGTCATACTATATCAGCATACGTCTCTAAGCATATAAAAGTAGCAATTCCGGAACGTATCAAGAGTGAAGTTGGCAGCAAGTTATTTTTCTCAGAGAAAGTGTCCCAATCCAAAGCCTAACTTAATTTTATTTCTGAACCCTACCCAAACCAGACTATGTACCTTAAGAAGCTCATAGACAGACAACTGGGTCTAGGTAAGTATAATTTTGATCCTGGATTTCTATTGAACTAGACAAATTTGGATTGCATACAATAGACAAATTTAATTCCGTAGTTTGCCAGTATTCTTTAGCTGAAATAGGCAACATCTAGTTGCTTCCTTGGAATCGTATTGCACTTCATCCTGGGACCTTCACTTTTCATAACTTTGACGAAATATCCCCCTCCTCGTCACCAGTACTATTGCACAACGGCTAAGACTATTAACCTTCCTCTGAAAAAGAAAAAGAAAAAAAGATAAAAGAAAACAGCGACCTCTTTTCCTTCCGACGGTAATGAAACACTCGGAACCTCTTAGATCCCTCAACCACTGCCAAGGTGAGCCGTTTGATTTTAACGACCCTTCCTTCTCCCTGAAGTAAATCGATTATGTGAGAAAACCAGTCAAGTCCATTCTTTGAAGGATCTGCGTTAAGTGGAGATTCTTGTAGAACCGTGCTATGTCTACGTAAATATGAAGACCACCATCGAGTTCCGGAGCCGGTAATATCAATATCAAGTATGACATAGCGTTTCTAATATTTATAGAATGGGGATTATAAACAAATCTAATGCTACCTCTCTACAAATGCAAATCAGTGGAACGTATATACAGGGTGTCTTGGAATAGATGGTACAAATGGACTGCAAGTTACTACAGGGGCAAAAGTAAATTGAAAATGTAGAATGAATTTTTCTGATCTGACAAGTCACGTTCGAAACACTGAATTTCAAAGTTTGGTGAGTATACTTACGCTTGGTTAAGTTTCAAATGAATAAGCAGAAGAGGAATCTACAAACAAAAATAAGTGACAAGTGTAGAATAAATTCTTTTCTTCTGAAATCCAATTTTTGAGAAATTATATTTCAAAATTTGAGAAAGTTGATCTGTGATGTAATCAGAAAGAATATTATTCTAAATGTAAACACCATAACTAAACTTAACAATATTTCTTCTTTAATATCTGACAAATAGTTATCTGAAGGAAAATATAATTTTTGGAAAATACATACACATGCATAAAGTTTTAGATGCAAAAAGAAAATATGTTTGTTTTCTTCATTATTTTCTAACAGATAGCAACAGATTTAGCTAAACAAACATAACTCACTATAGAATCAGTAATTATTATAACACATAATTTTATCTTTCCATATTATATAAAAGTATATAAAAAGAAATGTTTCTCTGGAAAAGTACTGTTGATCCTTCATGAACCTTGAAATCTGATTGAAAAATGTAATAGTGTAATATAACAGTGCAACTTTGTCTTGAGGACTTTCCATAAGTCTATAAGTAAATAATATATTTAGGTGTTCTCGTTTAAATTTCCCTGTATTCAT